CCTCGCCCCTCATTATATCCCTGGCACCAGGCTGGCACAGAGCCGAGGTCTGAGGAGGCAATGAATACAGACCGCGCTGCTTTCTTTCTCCCGCGGAGGTGCTGCGGTCCACCCCGGGCTCCTACAGGCCAGGCCCGCCCGGCCCGGCTGAGCTCCTCCCGACCTGCCCGCCTGTCCCCCGAATGACTGATGACTTCGCAGAAACACTGTCAGGATTCCACTAAGTAAAGTAGGGACAGGCAGAGCAGGTGTCCCCAAAGAAAAGACACACGCTGTGTTAGCTCTCGTCACTGTGACAGCATACCTGAAAAGCAAGGAACTCGCACGCAGGAAGGTTTCTTTGGACTCATGAGTTCAGAGCTTGCAATCCAGGGTGGGGGGTTCCTCCTCGGCCTGAAGCGAGGCAGATGTCATGGTGGAGGGAAGCCGCGCAGAGCAGACAGCTCAGCGGAGCCAGGGCCGGGGAGGGGAAGGGGCCAGGGTCCCCGCGGCTCCTCCGAGGGCACCCCGGGGACCTCCTCCCACCCCGTCGGGCTGGAAACAGGCCTTCAACACGGGAGCCCTGGGGGAACATTACAGATCCAAACCGTCACACACAGTAGGAGCAAAACAGGAAAGGAGGAGCCAATGGAGCAAAGAACAACCTAAACCAGAGTGAAATGGTGACAGAAAAGGTCGCCTGGGTCAGGAGCGGTGGAGCATGCCTGTGATTCCAGCGCTTGGGGGGCCGAGGCAGGAGGATCGCTGTGAGTTTGTGGCCAGTCTGAGCTATATACTGAGACCCTGTTGCGAAAGAAAAGAAAAGGCAAGGCGTCCAAACCTTAAGGTGTGAACAGGACTGACTCCTGGGGATGCAGAGGTGAACCTGTTCCATGCCTCTCCCTGCCTTCTGACGGTCGCTGGCCATCCTTGGCATTTGTTCCCTGACTGTAGCAGCATCAGAGCAGTTTCTGCCTCTGTCACCCGGTGTCTTCTTCTCCCTGTGCCTCGGCATCCTCTTTTTCTTGTAAGGACACCTATGGTATGGACTATGTGATCTAGGACCCACTCCACTCCAGGATGACCTCAGTTTTAACCAATTACATCTCCAAAGGCCCTATTTTGAGTTTCAGATTGACGTGAATTTTGACGGGACAATAGGCACTCTAGTCCAAGACACCGATTGCAAACTTGTTTTTAAAATAGCTTCAGAGACAGAGATTTAGCTCTGTGGTATAAGTACCTGCCCAGCAAGTGCAAAGTCCTGAGTTCAATTCCCGGTACAAAAAATAAAATAAAATAGCTTCAATAGGCTAGTTTTTCTTTTCTTTTTTTTTTTTTTGTCTTTTTGAGACAGGGTCTCACTATGCCATTCAGGCTGTCCTTGAGCTAACTTTGTAGCCCAAGCTGGGCTCGAATTAGCAATGATCCTCCTGCCTCAGCCTCCCGAGTCCTGGGATTACAGGCGTGCACCACCACGCCTGGCTAGGCTAGTTTTTCAATAACTGAAATTTGGGCTGGAGCTAGGAAGATAGCGAACTAGTTGAGACCTCAGGTCGTGAACTCAAATCCCATCCAGTCTGCTTCCCTAGCTGTTGGTTTACTCACCTTGTAAATAGGAAGAATAGTATCTCAGAGTAGACTGGCGTGGATGATTTGAAGTAATACATGAAGCACGCTTAGCGCAGCCCCAGGCCCGGAGGAACAGTGTTTGGCTCCATGGAAACAGACTCAGGGTACACGTGGGTAGAAGGTGAGGTTACTGCTCACGAAAACAAGGAGGACCCGTCACTGGATGCAGCCGGGGGCTCACAGCACTGTTTAAAGAGCCAGTTGCATTGTTCCAACTTAACACTTTCCCGCCCAAGTTTCCCCACAACTGGTTCTTCCGTGCTGAGGTGAGTGAATTACCACCCGTCATGATTAGGAGTGCCACAAAAATGCTGGGTCGAGTGTCACTCCCCCACAGCGTTGGACATTTCAGTTCACTGCCCATCAACTTGACAATCGTTTCATTACTGTTCTTCAAAAAGCAACTGTTTAAAACCATCATCTGGTGTTTGGTTGGTTTCTTGTGATAGATTCTCAGAGTCTCACTATGTAGCCCAGGCTGGCCTGGAATTCAACATCCTCCTGCTTCAGCCTCTAACTGCTGGTATTATAGGAATATACCACCATCTACAATGCCAGCTTCTTTGTTTGTTTGTTTTTCTGTGTTTGTTTATTTTGTGGTACTGGGGATTGAACTCAGGGCCTTGTGCATGGTAGGATTTCTTTGATTTTTAAAGAATAATTTCAAATATATAAATAAATGTCTAATCTAAATGTCTAAGCTTAAAAGATTCTCACTAAATCTCTATAACTGTTTTGGTAGGTATGGTGGATTGACAACTGGTGGTCAGTTTATAACCCCCAGCTGAACTGAGGAAGCATCATGCCGGGTGTCGGAGGCCCACCTGGGGACTGTTGCCAGCAGCATAAGAGGCAGAACAAGAAGGGAGGCTGTTGGGAGCTGAGAGAGGCTATTGGGAGCTGGTGGAAGCTGTAAGGAGCTGCTGGTTCTGTTGGAGGAACTGGTCATCCTGGCTCTCCTGATGAACTTGGCTGTTTTCATCCTCCAAGGAGCTCGGGACCATGTTGGCACTGAGAATAGCTTCAGTTCACTTTAGGGGAGCTCTGGTCCTCACTTTGAACATCACTTCCTCACTCTGGAGGGGTAGAAGGTGCGCTGCCATCTCCTGAGAAGCTTGCCTCATTGGCTTCCCTGATGGGAACTCAGTCTTCACCATTGGAAGAGCTCGGGACCTCACGGTTGCTGAGGATGGCTGTGGTACCTTTCAGGGGAGCTCTGGTTCTTACTGGGCATGTTGCTTCCTGGCTCCAGTGCAGATCCCTCAGCCTGCTAGCACAGATCCTTCATCCCACTGGCACAGACTTCCTAGATTCCAGCACTGACCTTTGGGCCTTCCCAGCGCAGATCCGTGAAACAGGCCAGCATGAGACGTTGTCATGGGCTGTAGGCCTCCAGTTGGACTCATGGGAGGCACTGTTATGAGCTCTACGTCTTCAGCTGGACTCATGCAAGACATTGCTGTGGGATCCAGGCCCTCAGCTGGATTCTTTGGTCTTTAGTGTGTAGACAGATTTCCTGCACTCTTGTATATGATTCTTTGGGTGACTACTATAAATAATCTTATCAACTATGTGTCCTGTATTATATTGTTCTCCCTTGCAATAAGCCTCAAACCAACACAGTAGGAAACCAAATATGTAAGTTTTCAAAGGTGACAAAATTGATGTTCTGAGTGGTTACATGACTTTTTCACTTTGTTCTATCTTGAATGAATGGTAAAGATACAGGATGACTATCTTTTGTAATGCTTATATATATTAATCATATTCTAGAAATTTGTTGTTGATCACCTGATAATAAAATATAAAAATCTTAAATCAATATTTGCTGTCTGCTAAATAACTTACTTATTTAAGAAGGCTACTAAATTTCACTGAAGTTACACGGCTAAAATCTATATTTATTGCTTCTGGTTGACAGGATTTAACAGTCCAATCTGTGAGCCTGCAGTTTTCCCATATACTGTACTAAAAAATAAGAGCTCAACAAATTCTTTGCCATTCGTAAAGTACTTTTTTTGTTATAAATCTAAATCATTCCATTCAACTTTTTTTAACAAAAATATAGACAAGTAGAACCCCTTCATACTATGTTTCTAGTTCCCAAACAGGCAAATATTATCAGAATTGTAAGAAAGTGATTTTAAGAATTTCTGTATGGTATTGCCTGTTATACACTGCATGCATAACTAGGCAGCTGAGGAATTTTACAGACTGACTTTTATTTTTATTTTATTTTATTTTTGTCTTTTTTGAGACAAGTTCTCACTATGCAGTTCAGGCTGGCCTTGAGCTCACTTTGTAGCCTAGGCTGGTCTCGAACTTGCAACGATTCTCCTGCTTCAGCCTCCCGAGTGCTGGGATTACAGGCATGCACAACCACAACTGGCCAGACTGACTTTTAAAATCAAGACAAATTTGCACATTAATTTCAAACCTTAGGAATCCCACCTGAGTATAAAGAAGCCAACTACAACAAAATTCCTGGCAGACCATAAGATAATACATATGCGTTAGGGTTAGTATTTGGCTCTCCTTGTATTTGAGGGTGTATTTATACTATCTTTTCGGTTTGCTTCACAGTAAGTACAGCAAATTCCATCTGTAACAGCTACATATTTACATATAAAGAAGCAAAAGGAGTTTTTGTTACACATGTGCAAAAGACAAGGCTCCGCTGCTTTTGTTTCCCCTGAATTCATTACAAAATGAGCTAAAAAGCTGTCTCTCTCACTCTAATTTCTGTGACTGTGATTCTGACCCCGTATTTTACTACACATAAACTTACAACACAGCGCAAATTTCATGTGTTTGTGACTTGCCTAAACTTCCTTCTTTCAAAATTTGGACATTGGTAGCTGAAAATTATCTCCATCACTTTTTAGACTGCACTTCAGAAAGTAAAAATATAGAACTCTGCAGATTTATTTCAGAACATGCCAAATCTATAACGATTAAAAACCCTCTCAAGGGAGGCAGTTTGGAGAGCTAGTACAAAGAGGCACTGCTTTGTAGCTGGTGTGGTGCAGATAAAGCATTTCAGCACAAGTTCTGGACAAAGGGTTTGGGAGTCTTAAATCAGAGAGCAGAATTCCTTAGGAAAGGGACAAAAGAGAGACTTCCTGTCATTTCCACGGGCTTCTGCATGTGGCACCAATATGGGCAAGGCAGGGTTTAAACAGATGCAAATGCGGAGGGAGGGGGCAGCGTCCTGCTTGCTTGCCACATTTCTCCCGGGCCACATTGAACTGAAGTCCCTCTCCTCGGAGCCTCCCCAGTAGACTTCCACGGAAATCACCGCCGGCCTGAATGGGCCACTTCACCGATATTTGCTTATGGAAATAAAGGGGAGTGACCAGCAGGGAGGGAGGGGGTGGAGGAGGGGTCTGGGCCCAGGGCGGCTCGGAGCACAGCGCCGCGCGCCAGGAACCCTGTCCGATGTGATCATTAACCTCTCCGAGCGCGCAGCTGGCAGCGGAGCTTGTCATAGGATGTGAGCACAGCCGCAGGGACACTGCGCAGGCTGCTGACAGACTCTGGGGTTCACCTTGAGAGCTGGTGCTCCCCTCGCGCGTGGCAGAAAAATGAGATTCCGGCAACTTTTTTGTGTACTTTTAATTTTTCTGACGAGTCTCCTCCTTAGCAACGGACAGAGACCAGGTAGGACTCTGATGCCTTCCTACTGAGTGACTTGTTTTTATGCCAGTTTGTGTCCCTGCGTCTGTGAGCGCGAGTGTGTTTACGCTGAAAGTCACTTAGGTGTGTTTGCAGTTGGTGTACATGTGCAGGATTTCAAAAAAAGACTATCGATCCTGTTGGGGGTGTTATTTGGATTTTTTTTTTAAATGTCTGTACCTTAGAATATTGATAAATTTTTACCGCTGTTTTTCTAAATGCAAAGAACATTATAGATATCTTGTCCTTACAAATGAAAGGAAATGGAAATGCTGGCCTCTTCTTTACAGAGGTAAATAAACAATGGATTTTAGGGTAACATGCAAAACCCAAAGCAGTTTTTATCAAAAGAACCTGTTGCTAGCTGGAAGACAATGTTAACTGAATTGGAGGCATGTAAAAGTCATAATGACAAAATGCAGAAGCTATCACAAAACAAGCCAATAGTTGCCACTGCTAATTACATAGTGTATGTCACTTAGAACAAAAAGTGCAGTTTTTATTACCAGTGTGCTTATATAGCCAAAAATATCAAAAATATGCATGATTAAGATACGTAAGATTGGGCCAGGGATATAGCTCAGCCACACAAGAGCCTGCCTGGCAAGTGCAAGGTCCTGAGTTCGATTCCCGGTACCAAAAAAAAATGGAAACAAAGATTTAAAAAAAATACGTAAGAATAATTTACTTGACATCTTTTTCAAGGATGATATCGATTATGTTGTACTTAACCAACAGGAATTTAGTAGGCAATTACTCTAGTGTGTCTTTATTTCAAAACCAAATACCTAACATTCCAAAGCCCTAGTAAGTTAAAAAAAAAAAAAAAAAAATTGGAAAGTTAAAAGTTTCCTGACACTCAAAAACTGTAAACTTTCAACAGGACGGGGATTGGACATCCCAGCAGCTTCACGTCATTCCCTTGACAACCGTACAGAAACGGAGCCAACTGGTTAAACCTCTTCAGGCTCTGCCTTTTAGTTCACTAGACGTTTGCTTGCTCTGAGGTTATTTCACGTCCCCTTGTCTGTCCTTTCTCACAAATAAGAGCAAAGCTCCAAGTCAGCAACTCCGAGGGAGCAATCTGATCCCTTCTTATTGTTTACATCAACTGCTATTCAAACCGTTTCTACTTTTCTGAAATACAGAACACCTGGGGTAATGTTCTTGTAAAATATTTATGTTTGCATAAAATGGAAAGCCTAAGAGTAATTAGGGAACAAATGTACAAAAGGAGGAGGAGGATATTACTGTCGAGATCTTGTTATTAGGAATATACCTTGCATTTCTCCACCACATTAACGTTTCTAACCATGAGCACGCAGGAACGGTTTAGCTGCAGGTAGGCTAACACTGTTACATCCTCCAGGTTGCCCCACAGTTCACATTTGTCAATGTTGCTAATCTTTCTTTCTTTCTTTCTTTCTTTCCGTCAGCTAATCTGGTGCTGAGAAGAAAGCTGCACAGGCACAACTGCCTTCAGCGGAGATGCATGCCGCTCCACTCCCGGGTGCCCTTCCCCTGAGGTATTTCTGACAGAAAGTCCTGGTGCTGCGTTTAAGGGGCCGCCTCAGAGAAGGCCTATTTGCATTCCATACCACATGACAGTGGCTGTGGGGAAGCAAATATACTGATGAATGAGTGAGATGACGTGATGCCTGGGAACTGCTTTTATAGTCAGGAAAGAGGATGGGATATATGGCCGGGGATGTAGGTCCTTGGCATAGCACCTGGCTTGGCAAGCGCAAGGTCCTGAGTTCAATTCCTGGTACCAAAAAAAAAAAAAAAAGAAAAAGAAAATGCAATAAATAAGTGAAATCCTGATAACTGTCAAATCTGAGTGATAGCAATACGGAAGCTAAGAGGATCTTATGTGACTGAGAATTTCCATAATTAGAACAAATCAGGTATCATGGGAATTATGAAATTATTTAACTGTGTGTTTTGAAAAATGCTGAAAGCTCCAGATGGTATCCAGAGCAAACACACTGCCCATTTAGACCCCTGTGTCACTGAAAGTATTTGGATGACTTACCCCAAGGACACCCCAGGGACAGACTGGCCTCAGGACTTCCACGTTTAATATCTATAATCAACTTGATAGCATGGCATCTTCCCACCCTCACTAATAGTACTGGCCTTGAGGATTGCATCTTTTTTTTTTTTTGTTCTTCTTGAGACCGGGTCTTGCTGTGCCGTTCAGGTCAGCTGTGAGCTCACTTTGTAGCCCAAGCTGGTCTCAAACTCACAAGGATCTTCCTGCCTCAGCCTCCCGAGTGCTGGGATTGCAGGTGTGTGCCACCATGCCCGGCTGAGGTTTGCATCTTTAAGAGTAAGTTCTGAATGGACCTTTGCTCCTCCCTTTCTGTCTTTACACTTCCTACAAGGCCAATGATTTCACACCATCATCATCTCCCATAATACGGATCGCAGCAGTTGGCTTCAAACACTGCCAAAGATTAATTCACTTCATGCTAAATGGACATTCCATTGTAATTATTTCAAGCTCCTTAGTCCATTTAAAATATAGCCTCCTGAAGGACATACTATAAACATATCTTCAGCTGGCGAAAGCAGACATTTGCTAAATTAGCTTATTCAGTTGGGCCGCAGACCGCTGCTTTTATGGCTGCAGTCATTCAGTGGAGAGAATGGTCCTACGCCTACTGTTTAATGCATGCTTCCCAAGCCCAGTGCAAGCCTTGCAGTAAGAAATTAAATAACGGAAGAGCAGCAACTTAGTAATAAGCATTTATCAGAGGACTTAGGCAAAAAGCCAAGTACTCTCTTTGTTTTTGTTTGTTTGTTTGTTTGTTTTGTCGTTTTGAGACAGGGTCTCGCTATGCAGTTCAGGCTGGCCTCGAGCTCACTTTGTAGCCCAGGCTGGTTTCAGGCTCGCAATGATCCTCCTGCCTCAGCCTCCTGAGTGCTGGGATTACAGGCAGATTACAGGCACGCGCCACGACTCCCGGCAAACCCAAGTTCTCTACCTGTAAAAAATTACTCTTTATTATCAAACTATGGAAAGTGGATTTGGTGGAGAACTGTGGAAAGACACAGTAGGATGTCCCTGAGAAGCCAGTTAATAGCAATTGAAATAGGCTTTGAAAGGATTAATATGCTAACATATCCTTTTGTTTGTGTGGTGGATAACGTTTCCAGGAGAGCTTTTCAGCCTCACATGTGACATAACAGTAAAATCTTTGCTCAGGAGGAGTAAGGAAGTTCCAGACTTTCCCCAGCGCTCTTCTGTCAACAGCAAGAGGAGCGTGTGCATTTTACAACACCAGAGAATTCCTCTGTACACAAAGATACCTTGCAAAATACAAATACAAGTCTTTCTCGTTACCACGAGTTATCTTGGTCTTCTCCACAAACCACCCCCCACCGAAATCAAGGCTGCAGGGAAACTAGATGGGGTGCAGACCTGCGACTGTCGAAGTTAAGGGAACTTCTGATCTATAAATCAGATGGGGCTGGGGATATAGCTCAGTAGCATAAGCTCTTGCCTGGCAAGTGCAAGGTCCTGAGTTCAATTCCTAGTACCAAAAAAATCAACTTGGTCAACCAAAGAGAAATTTAAGTGAAAGCTATGTCAACCACTTAATAATAAGGATCCTTTTTCTAAGTTGGCTGTAAGTGTCATAGACCTGCTTGGATTATAGCACCAGTTACTGCTTAGATTTTCAGGGGTTAGGCTGGTCTTACATCCACTACAGTTCCCTGAAGAAAGTGTAAAAGTTACCTGTTGTAATCCAGCCATTATTATAAGAGCCAATAAAAGACAAACGTTAAGATAAGTTCCCAAGATCGTCTTCAACCAGTACCAGCAACCAACACAGCCTTCAAAGGTAGTGCTACAATTCTCTCTGTCCTAAGTATTTTCCAGTTTTCTGTATGTTTTGCACCAATGGTTCTGTGACAGTTGGGTTAGGGCCTACGTACTGGGCTCGAAGCCAAAATCGCCTTTTCATTTCTCCCCCTCTGTTTTCC